AAATAATCATATGATAAAGATACCTAACTTTATATCTTTTAAACTTTTGCATATATTCTGAATTTTCATAAATATATCAACTTTTAATTTGAGTCTCTGAAATTTAAAATTTTGTATCTTAATTTTAAAAAGTGAATAGATAAATAAAAACTCAAATTTTAGAGAAGTGAATAGACATTTAAGCTTTTACTGATCATATAAATGAATAATCATAGAATTTAGTAAAGTATCTTTTGGAGTTTCAGTTAGTTTTTTTCACATACGAGCATGCACAGTGGTATAGGGTTCCGAAACATACTCTAATGAACCAAACCATGCAAATATTATTTAAAAGTGGCAACACTTGGTAACTCTTTTTATCATTAACTAAAATAAAAGGAGTACCCTTTTGGAATGAGATCTTGAAGATCTCCTATGGCTGTGAATAGTAAGTGGCTGGGGCACCCAAATCATAGAGAAGACTCCACAATTTGGGCCACAAGGATATGAGGAAGTTGCTTAAGGAGGTGACTTTGGCTCTGGTGACAAAATCTTTAATTATCTGAAATGTCAAAGATGACAAAATCTTTACATCCATAAATTTTTTTTTATCAAATCACCTTAAAAGATTTTATTTTATATAAATGATGCACTAAAGGATGAATATTTGAAATAAAGTAAAAAAGAAGTTGAAAAGATATTGAGAAGGGAAGACAACCCATGATATATAGTTCCTATGCATCCATTCAAATTTGGAAAATTCCATTAACTACATGGCCCCATCTGGAGGCTACTCACAGAGAATTGCAAGTGGGAAATCCGAATCTGTGGGAGCATAAAACACCCTTATACACTTATCATCATTTTTTCAATGTTGCATGTCACAGAACAAAGATTTACTATTAGAATTTGCATCCATATACATTAATTACAGCATACAATATGCACTGCACTACTGTACTTTTTGTCTGACTCAAGCTAGAACTTCCAAGGTTATCATAAAAGCTATGCAGCCGTTCACCTAAACATGACAGTCATCAATGGAGGAATGCACATGGGTGGCACCACCCATACCCCTTTAAGCCCATTCCTCCATGTTGTGTCTTCAATTTATTTTACCAATGAAAATACTGTTTCAGCACTGTATAACATATGTTGTAATTAGCATCTTATTTATGATTGCCAATTCCATGCAATTCAATTAGTCGGTGATTTGTATCGTTTGATAAAATATATTATATAACTTTGATTCTTATGTTACATTACTGATAAATTACCTTAATTTTGTATCACTGATATAAATTACATCATTCCACTTCACGTAAGCTTAAATTGTCAATTGAAAAGGAATTGAATGTGCACTACTAAACTTTTTTTATTTGATTATTTCGTTACTTTATTTGCACTCAATCCTTCAATGCAAGCAATCTGTTTAGTTGTTCCTTTCTTTTAAAATAGAACTTTCATACACTTATGATTAAGTTGTTTTTATCTATTTCTAGTTTAAAATGGTTACACTAAACATCATACGCTATTTATACTACTATATATTTGAAAGCAATTTTTATCGTCTCTAAATTTTACGATACGATAAAATGTATGATTCACAATTCAAAAATTAATACTAGTGTAATATTTTAAAGCTACAACCGACAATAATTGTATATATTTTATTGAGCTTGATTAAAAATAAAACGAAAGCAAAACAGATTTTGTCTTTAATTAGATGCTTGTAGGAAGTAAAATTACTACAAATGAAGAAAATTGAAAAATTATATAATTCTAGAAATATCATATTTCTGAGATTAAAGAATATATATAAGTCGTTCACCAAAAAAATATTTAAGTCATATTTTATAACACAACATTTTATTAAATGATAAAAAAATCAAATTGGAAAAAGAATATTTATACTTTTCATATAGTTATTTTTCTTTTTACTTTTATCACAAATCTAAATGAATTTATTTCTAGAATTTTTATTTTTTTTTCATTGTATTTGAACACAAAATATTAATATATTTTTTATAGACAAATTTTTAAATAATGATAACAAATTAAAAATATGAATGGAAATCTAGATCGTATTGATTTGATTTAGATTAAATTGTAAATAAAAAACCTGCATGTTACATATATGTCAAATTATAAACTATATGGTTTAGATATACAGTTCCATCAATCGGATAATCAGTTACACTAAGATGTTCAGAACAACATTGAAAATTGTAGAAATGTTGGAAAATAAAAAGATAAAATATCATTGAGAGACACATCCATAATTGTTTGTCACTATTAAAAGGCCTTTTATATTAAAAAGAATTCAAATACACCTTAAATTCATCTCTCAAGAAAGGAGAGTGTATATTTTACTGTAAGAAAGAATAAAAATATAGCTTAAGTTTCTGTTAAGGAAAGAGAGTGTAATTTACTCCATTAGTTATGTTCTAAGATTAACATTTTATCAACATTCGATATTACAAAACTAAAAGTTTACTCTACCAAATCAAATTGGGAAAGATTATATAAGTAAATTAGATTTTAATTTTGGTAAAAATGTGATTGTAAAATTGAAAATTAAATGAGTTAAACTTTTTGATCAAGATAGCAACACAGTTTGACTAGTCAAAATCAAACTAAAGCTGTAACTAATTGCTTCTAACTCACCTTATTTAGTTCAAAAGTATAATTACTTCTATTACTTTTAATATGCTTTTTGGAAGAAACATTTTGTACCTTTTTCTTTTACTAGTTTAAGTCAATAGTAGTTATTATCATCTGCCAACAATGGTTAGGTCTAATGGTAGGGCTAGTCCCTCACAAAGTTGTGAATCACAGATTGGATTCTATTTAAGACACTCACATAAGAATAAGATAATCTTCTATGAAGCTTAATTACTTATGAGAAAAATGACAATTTTCTCAATTATGTCATTAATTCTATCTGATTCTTAAAATATTTCACACACATAAAAATAAGAGAGCAACAATAGTGAATGACATAATATTAAGAAATTAAAAATATTTTTATTTAAATAATAACTTGGTTGTATTTTTTTTTTAATTATTATGTTTATAAATAAAAAAAAATGGCGATAGTAATGATTCTATTTAGGGTTCAGTGCACGTCCATTGTTACCATTTTGGTATCATGATGTTAGCAGAATTATCCACTTGCACATGTTATGCCTGCTATGTCCATGCATTGGACATCGTGTTCTGTGACTCCAAACAGTTTTACGTTGTTGGGAAGATTTAATTCATTCGCAGTGTTGAATTTTCTAAGAAACGATTGATTGAATAAACAACACAATCATAAAAGTAATATTGAAGAACGTATTCAGCAAAATGTTCATATAACATGGAATCCTACCTTTGGTTTGCTGGTATCAACTTCTTTTGTTTATAAGGGTATATTTAAGCACATTTAATGGCTAGAATATGTATAAAAAAGTTTTATATATGGTGAGAAACAAATTTTATTTAAGTGTTCTTTATGGCTCAAAAAGATTAATATTTAATTTTTGGAAACTGTCCGTGACATTCAATTTTTTGTTTATAATATAAATCTTATTAAATAATCCTTCTATCCTTTTTATAAAAAATAAAAAATTAAATCACCAAAATAAAAAAAAATAATTATGTTATATTTTTTATAAATATAAATTTTATTCTAAAAATACTCATGATATTAAATGATGTAGTTAGTAATTTATATATTTAATAATATTAATAAAAGAAGAGTATAAAAAAATTTAACAATTAATACATCTTAAATCTATCATTTGTTTCTTATAATAAAGATAAAAAAAAAATTCTATTTTATTTCTTATAAAATGGACTGGAAGAAGTACTATTTAAAAAATAGTAAAATTATCAAGAATTATGCTATATACTCATATATAAATTTATGTATTAGAAATTATGATAAAAATAGATTAATAACATTTTGAGGCTTGCCAACTATTGTTCTGTCCTCAAAACACTACTTCAAATTTTTGTAATTTTTTTTATTGAAAATCACATTTAACTATGTTAAAAATCACAAGGAAAAGCAATAACATTTTATAACAAATTTTTTCATGTAATTCCTTAACCAATGTCTTTAAAACACTTGCCTAACATTTTCAATAAATTTATTTTGCCTTTTAATTTCTTATCAAGTACTCTTGAGACACTAATTAACATCTATCTTCAATTTATTTTTAAAAAAGTGATTATTTATACATTTTTAAAACAAATTTAACATAAAAGATTATTTTTCCAATTTATTTCCAACAAATAATAAATTCAACTGAACGATTGGGTACAAGAAATCATGAATTGCAATTTCACTTCCAGTTCTAAGAATAAACTCGTGAGTACAACATAAGTTCCCACAATGATGAATTTTTAATCTTGGGGTGGTGGGAGGTGAATTTTCATTCAAGACAGCACTGAATTACCGACTCTATTTAAAAAAAAAATACTATCAATATTTCCTTATCTAATGTATTAATTTTTTTTATATATTCTTGAAAAATAGTTAGTTTAAAATTGTAACAAAGGAACTAAGAAATACATTTAATTATTTTATTTTTATTAAAAATATTATAAAATTTTGTTTTACTCATTTTAGAATTTGTCTATGCAATAAATGAATAGAGAAGATAAAAAAAATAAGATTTAAAATAATAATCATCTTAAGGGTAAAATTTAAAGAACAAAATTAATTCTACCATAAAATTGTAAAATGACTATTATTTTGAAAAGACAAAATAAATTAGATGAAGACACTATTTTTTAGAGACAAAGGAATACCAATTTAACTATTTAATATCATGATTATTTTTAAAATAAAGTTTAAATTTATAACATATAACTACTTTTTCATTAATATTGATAAATTAAGTATTTATTTCTTATAAATGGGACGAAAGACAGTATTCAAAGGTAGATTCTTCTGAAATTCTTTCATTTAGATACAAGACATTCTTGAATTTGGAGTTTTTGGTACTTTGGATAACATCGAGAATTGTTGCAACTGATATGATTGGTAGCCAAATATGCTGGCAAATAATGTTCAAATATGTGGTTTAATATGATGCCACAAAAGAAACAAAAATATAAAAAATTGTTCATACAGTTTACCTGTTACAACTCACAAAGCAGTTTTACAAGGCTAAAAATGATAATAACTTTTAACAAGTTCGAACTTAAATCTTCATATTTACTGAATACTGTATCTTAAAGATACTTTTAAACTAATCAGGTGTCAAACCTGCTAATCAAGTCTTCTCTTTGAATCATGGTATCCAATGGACTTGTATGTCTGTCCTTCATCCAAATAGAGGCCAAGTTATGGCTTCATATGATCATTTGTAATGACTTGAGTGCAATATGACTCAATGCATAGTTTCAAGTCACTTGTGCTACTGATTGGAAAGCTTATTTTCTGTTAGAATTACTTCTCAGAAAGCATCTTCTCAATTTGACCATTTTGGTTGTACAGATCCACAATTTTCTTAGCATATGTAGGCATGTGCCTATCAGCCCTGCATGCATTTACGTTTCAACAATATAAACAAATTATCCTCAATATCAAAGCAAAGGTTTGCCCTAAATTATCCCAGCTCCTAACTAGAAACAAAGAAGGAAAAAATAATTTATGAATATTATTTGATGATTCTATGCTATGGAGAGAGAGAGAGACACTTTATTGGCTTATCCCTAACCTAAGTTAATTAAGGAAATACAGGGAAATAAAATCTTCTCGAACCTGTATAAATCAATTCTAATTAAGAAGGAAATCTCAACGCTAGGATCGAATCATGAAAATTATATTAACAAGGTCACACAACTGCTAATTATTTTTCTTTAATATATCATCGATCTAAAATTGTGCTTTCTTTAATCATGTTGAAGCATGATGCAAGGTGTGCTAATGGACAATTGCGAACTAGTCACAGAATAACGTTATTGGAGCTTCAGACTTTATTCTTAAGTCATCAAGAAATTGTCGTCAAAAACAACTCAAATACCCGTGTTATAGCTCAAAATTTTGCATTTGTACTTGACCTTGTAACTATATTTTGCTTCTTACCACGCCATGTCACCAACCTTCCACCTAAACATGCAGTATCTTGAGGTGGATCTCCTATCAGCAATTGACCCACATGGTCTGCACTTGCATATGTTTCCATGGACAATCTCCAGTCTTTCTGGAATAGCAGCCTTCTTCTTGGGCTTGCCTTAAATACTAAGATTTTATCAACGCCTATAAATGTCTTCCATAAGGATTGTGCATGAACTGACTAACCACACCAACAACAAAAGTGATGTTTGGCTTGGTGTGGACTAGATATAAATAAGCTTTCTCTTAAGCCTCTAATACCAGTACTCCTCCTTTTGGGGCTCTCTTCATTGCTACCAACTTTTTTATACTGTTCTATGGCTGCTCTAGTGGTTTTGCAACTCTAATTGCATTCCGGCATGTTGCCTTTAGAAGATTAGGGATATACTTCCTCTGGGAAAATATATTTGTCTTCTTTGGAATAGGCAACTTTAATCACAAGGAAAGTAGTTTAGCTTTTCTAGGTCCTTCATCTCTAATTGAGCAGCTAGCTTCTCTCTTAGGATATGTTTTTCAACATTATCATCGTTTGCAGTGATCATATAAAGAGAGTATGTTTACCTTGGCTTTGTCTATATCCCCAAGTGTTAAGAGTTATCATATTGAAGGTTAATAGGGTTTAGTATTGAGCATATGTGCTCTTAATAACGATACAAGGGTTAAGAGAAAAAAAAATTTCTCCTACCTTCTACAAAATAAAATAAAAAAATGAACTAATAAGAGGTCCACATTTACTCTCAAACCTAACAGGGCCGAGAAGCCACTGTCTGGTACTTTCTCTCCATTTTCATTGTAGAATTGCTCTGCTTTCATTCCATTTCTTCTCCAATTGATTTGATCCTATGCTTCCACATACAAGGGGTGTTCAAAACCAAACCAAACCGATTTTAAACCATCAAAGTGATCTTAAAAAATTGAACACTGATCAAACCGAAAATCAATCAAACTAAAAAATTCACACTATATATTGTAGTTTGATTCGAATTTTGGTTCTTATTATTATAACCAAACCAAACTGAGGTGCACTGCAGTAAGTGGTATACTACTATTTCCTCAAAACTATCATTTCTTTATCAATTGAGTATCCTTTTTTTTCTTCTTTATCAATAAATTTACTGTTCTTTCATAGTTTCATCATTTTAATTATTATATCTTTTCTTTGTTTTTTATTTTCAGAACAAATTCACTTAATTTTTGGGTTACTTTATAAACTAAAATAAACTAATTTTAGAAAAATAAAAGTCATTTAAAAAAAATAAAACTAAAAAAATCAATTAAAATTGAATCTTAAAATATCACATTGGTTTTACCAAGAGTCTCACAAACAATCTTCTTAAAGAGCATTTATATACAATTCGTATGGTTATAAGTACTCTTATTCGATCTCATCTTGATGACTTCAATTCTATTACTATGGATTCAAAAAATATTGATATCATGATTAAAGGTGAAGACAGAGTTTTGCTAATTGTTACCTTGACTTCTACCCATAAACACTTTAAGGAAATAATGTTGTATGGTATTGACACCTTATCCTTTGAAAATGTTAAATAAAACTCTTCTAAAGAAGATTTTGATTTTAAAGTTCTTTCTAAAAGGTGAAGGTTGTATGGTATTGACACCTTATCCTTTCAAAATGTTAAATAAAACTCGTCTAAAGAAAATTTTGATTTTGAAGTTCTTTCTAAAAGGTAAGTTTTAAGTGTCAAAGGAAGAACTCGGAGTGCCTGATACAAAAAGTCCAGATCAAAATCAAGGAGACACAATTCTAACAAAACTTGTTGCTATTGTAAGAAATTAGAAATGACATTTCTAATTGTTTTATTTTGAAGAAAAAGCAAGAGGAGTAAGAAAGAAACCTCACCTACCTGTTAAAGCTACTAATATTGAAATTGATTTTGAACATCCTAAGAGGAGTAAAGTTAAATAGATTCTTGATTCTAAATGTACCTTCACGTGTGTCCTTATAAGGACTTGTTTACCACTTTTGAATATGTTGATAGTGGTATTATTTTGATGGGTAATGATGCCCAATGCAAGATTGCTGAAATTAATAATATTCAAATCAAGACTCGTAATGGTGTTCTTAGGACTTTAACTAATGTTTGTTACATTCCTAACTTGAAGCGAAACTTAGATTTTTTTAGGCACACTGAGTCTCATGGGTGAAAAAGTACTTAGTTGGTGGAGTTCTAAAGATATCAAAAGGTATCCTTATTTTGATGAAAGCTAAACCATATTGAAGTTTACATGTCTTCCACAACTCTTTTGTGTCAGGTTTAGAGCTATATCTGATGTCAACAAATTATGGCACACACGTCTGGATCATATGGGTGAAAAGTCATGCATCTTCTAAGCAAAAAAGGGTCATATTGGGAAGCATAGTATTGGTAAGTTGGAATTCTATGAACATAGTGGTTTTGCGAAACAAAAAGGAAATAATTTCTCAACTGCAAGAACAAAGGGCATTTGTGTCATATTCACTTTGATTATTGAGGTCTTTCTAAAGTTTTTTTCAATGGAAGACATTGTTACTATTATTGATGATTTTTCTCATAAGTTTTAGATTTATTTTCTATAGCATAAAAATGAGGCCTTCCCCACTTTAAGTGGAAAACTCTTGCTGATGTCCCAACAGAAAAAAGGTCAAGAAACTCAAAGCAAATAATGGGTTAGTTTTGTGAAGGTAACTTCAATGAGTTATGTGCAGAGAATGGTGTTGCTAAACATATAATTATCCTAGTTACACCCTAGCAAAATGATGTAGTAGAATGGATAAATAGGACTCTACATAAGTTAAGAGAGCTTGCTGTATGCTCTCAAATGCTTGTTATGACATTAACATGAATTTTCGGCCAAGGCAACTCTTATAGCTATTTTTCTGAAATATGCTTTTAACAACTCTCATAGCTATTGATTATTCTAATGAGAATTTTTTGTTGTCCTGCTCATGCACATGTAAATAATAAAAAATTAGCTATAAGAGTTGTTAAAAGCATATTTCAGAAAATTTCCAAATGGGTGGTTTATATATTTGTTACTTTATGCAGATGATATATGAATTGCATCATGAGTCCTTGATCAAGAAGTTGGAGGTCTTTTAGTTCTCCCTCTTCCTCAACCACCGTAGTTTCTCCCTCTGCATCCCCTTCAGCTAACACCAAAATTTGTAACTGTTTGTTTGCACACACATGGCCCGGACCAAACTTTTCATCACACCTGAAACACAATCCCTTCCTAGACCTCTCTTGTAGCTCTGCATCGGTTAACTTTCTAAAGCTTCTTCCCCTGAAGGTATTAGAAAGTTTCACCACACTTCCCTCCCCTGTAGCACTTCCAGTTCCGAACGCATTGGACTGTTGCTTCACTCCCTGTTCCCACGTCACCATGCGGTTACTGCTATATGTCCTCATTGGCCTACTCATCGTACCTATTGGATTTCCCCCTTTGGTGGCCAACTAGTTCTTCTCATCCACTCTATGCACAATCCATTAATTCAGCCAAGCTTTTTGTTAGATAGAGCTTTAATTCTGCTTTAATTACTTCTGTGAGGCCATTCAAAAATATGCCCTTCAAGTATGCTGGTTCTACACTCTTTAACAGACCAGTAATCCAGTATAGAGTTCAAACTTCTCTCTGTATTCTTCCATTTAACCTGTTTGTTTGAGACTCAGCAACAGTTCAAAAGGATTTTCAACCATGGTTGGTTGGAAACGCCTAATAACTGCTGCTCTAAATTCCTCCCAAGTCGGTTGGTGTGCCAAGAACTCCCACCATCGATACCAAGTCAGCGCTTTTCCTTCCATCGCCACCATAACCGCCCGTAAATTTTCTCCAAACATCCCTTTTAAATCAAAATATCTCTCCACTCTGTTTGTCCAGCCATATGCATCCTCTCCATCAAAAACAGGTATCTCTAACTTCCTCCACCTATCCACCTTGTATCGTCCACCATTGTGGCTTACCTGTGTTCCGCCCTAAGGAATTGTTTGGCTTCTATCGCTGTTCTCTTCCTCTTGTCTCGCACAAATTTCTTGCAACTGAGGCTTGCACTTCATTTAACTATTCAGCGCTCTTCTCTATTGTTTCACGCATCTCCAGGAACTTGTTGCTTTGATACCAGTTGGTGCACCAACTGGTGTGAGAACAAAGACTGAATCATATTCAATTGAACTGATACGGAAATAAAAGTTACGTAGGAAATTGAGGAAAACGGACTGAGTACAAAGGCTTCCTCCCAAGATGTTCAAGAGCCTGGTCTCTCCCTTCCCGAAACCACTCAAAAACTGCCTACCTTCCTCCCTACCTCTTCTCCTATTTTTATTCTGCTCGTAACTGCTTAGAGGCAGTTACACTTGCCCCCACTATTAAAATAACAACTGCTAAAATAATTAATAACTGCTAAGATAATTCAATCCTATTAAAAAACCTAAGTCTTGGCTCTCTTCTTATAATATTTACTTATAAGGGGCCTTTCTTACATCTTTGATCTTATCAAGAAATACATCAATTTCTTGTGACGATCTTCAGCTTATCAAATAACTAGTTTGTGGCACATTCTTATCATGTTTCTTAATCACCAAATCAAAATCTGCTCTAGGGCTCATACAGATCCAAATCAATCCCAGAATTCTAGAATTTGTCCTAAACAATTTGATTATAACTCATATACTTGTCCTTTTTCTAGTGATTCTTGTGCCAATTTCACAATTCAGATCAATAGCACTCATCTCGTTTTGGAAACACCTAATTCTGATATCTGTAGCATGAGTTATGGATATTCTGTAACAGGACACGAATTCACCTTTGATATTTGAGTAGCCTTGGGTTCTTAGAATTGTTCATAGGCTACCTCCTATATTTCCTACAAATCCACATCCAATTCTACCTTGACTAGCCTTAACCATGATCTGAAATCAAGGGGGTTTATAAGGATCCTAATCACCTGGGGTTAGCAGAAGCAAAGTCTCCCAGACCAAGAGCTCTAATATGAACTTGAAACTTGAAAGAAAGAAGGGAAAAAATAATTTCTGAATATTATTTGATGATTTTATAGTACAAAGAGTGATATAGGCTATATCTAAGTTAATTAAGGAAATACAAAGAAATAAAATCTAATAGAATCTGTACAGATCTGTCCTAATTACAAAATTAGGAAAAAAATATGAACAATTATATCAAATCATGCTAATTATGTTAATTAGGTCTCACAACATCCTACGTACCTTTCCTTTCCCCACATACGATTTACATGTAAAAAGTTGCGAATGGTGTGATAATCAAGTGAATAACGTGCAAACTCGAGACCCTTTGGACCAATCTGAACATAAAAGCCAGAGCAATATTATCACTATGTTGTGAATAAAATACATGTATCAATGGATAAATTGATAAGAAACTTTTACCAAGTTTAGTATAAAAGCCAGCAAGTTTCCGATAAATTTTGGGGCAGGCTGAGAAGGACCTCTTCCTAGTCAAATCAAGAATTTCAAAAAAAGAAGTAATTAACTTCAAAAGTTTACAGGGTAGTACTGATCAAAACATATTGAGAAGAGATATCTAAGCCCCCAAGGTAACATAATAACTTTCATATTCTACCATAGATACATCAATCCATAAAATAATTTTATCACAAAAATCAAAATGCAAGAGCCAAAACAAGATATGGAAACTCCTATAAAATAAATACATTACATAATGAAAGTCATACATACCTAACTTAGCTTTATCATCAGCCTTAACAGTCTCCATGACAAAAGGTCGCCTATCTCCCTGAACCAAACAGAAAAAGTAATCAAACCTTTTCCTTTCAAAATAATAATAATAATAATATGCTTAAATGGAACAGAGATGATAATTTACAGCACTAATTGTCGGACTGATCTCCAGTAAGTTCTCTACAAGACTCAACATCTCTCTTCCGCGTTCATTCCTGTCATATTGAGAGCATATGCGGACTAAACATTGCTTACAAAAAAGTAACCCTTCAACAAAAAGTAATGCATAATTTCTTGGGCCAATAAACATTTATGACCGTTAAAGAGCATGTATAGACTAAATGATATAATGCAAGAAAAAAAGGAACTTTCACATGCCTTAGTCAGTGGTGTTACCTGACTGTAATATACTGTGGATGTTGCATCATGCTGATTCCAGAATATTTAGGCACACCCATATACCCAACCACCAAGTCCTGAAATTTTTTTTCTAATGTAAATATTTCTAAAAAGGATAAGGGGAACATGCAAGCATATGAAAAATTGAAAGTAGGAATATACGTAATTCCTTAACACCAACTGGATACGTTCCCAACTTTCAAGACTTGATATTTATGGAACAAAACCAAGATTGACATAATATTTTACAATAAAAGAAAAGTTGAAATTTGACCATCATGGAAGGTGATTAAACTACATATGATGAAAGAACATGCCACAATAACAATTTGTGGAAAACTCCACAAGTGAACAACTAGAGGCAATTACAAAATCATCCCAAGTTCAAAACAAATATGTATGTTAAAAAGACAAGGTCAGGCAGAGAAAGACTTACTGCTAAAGCATTTGTATAGTCGAAACAGCTGCAGGGAAAAATGGAGAATTTCTGAAAATTAGTGCAACATAAAATGAAAGAGGAAATATAAACTGAAGTAAAAACAATCTCATGATTCATATATGTAAATTAGTGAAAGTAAAACAAAAATTACCTGTAGCAAGACGGGGCAATAACATCGACCAACTCGTTCGCTGGTAGACAGAAATATGGAACCTGTTTAAGTTAAAAATTTAAACTGAATAGAGCTGCTTGCTTGTTAAACTCATGGACATACTAAAATAAAAGGGAGCCTTTTTACCTCTTCTATATGACCATCCAAATGCTTCAAGTGAACCTGCCAGAATGTTTGAAATAGCGACTGAATAAGAGAAAATAAACTTGGCAATAAAGCAAGATGCATCATAAAGTACTATTCTAAGAATCTAAATAAATCAGCTGGTAGAAATTATCAATTTATTTTTCACTGCCTAACCGAAGAATTCATTTGTCAATAGATGCTCTAAACCAGAAAGGATTTTTGTGCTGAAAACCTTGTAATCTTGCATAAATTCATAATGGAGAACTGTTTCTGGTGATTGGCTTGCAGCTTTTAGAAACTTATCCAGTCCTTCCCTGGTTCCATTGTCCACTGTCGAATGAGAATATTAGTACAAGTCTAATTTCTTTAAGGATGTGTATGCATAAAATTAAACAGCATCCATTAAGCAACCACTCACAAAATTTATAAACATTCAAGTCCACTGTCAAATGAGAATTTTAGTACAAGTCCAATTTCTTTAAGGATGTGTGTGCATAAAATTAAACCGCATCTATTACACAACCACTCTCAAAATTTATAAACATTCAACAAATGATTTATAGCAAAGCACTAAACCTTTTCCATACCACAATTTGTGCCTAAAACATAGAGCCTCTCCAAATTCAAGTGATGCTCAACAGATCTTAATGCTGCAATTGAAGAAATTATTCTGCATTACAACATTACAAGTCACAATGGAGAAAATGATGAAAATTAGCAAAACATTTACATCTTTATAGTAGTGATACCTTGCACCTGGCAACCTACACCACAGAAAAGAAGACGCTTGACGCCTGCGGCCTTTTGATAATGAAAATTCAAACAGACATACTATGAATATAAAAGGTTCACAATAAACAATACATCCAATGAATCATATGAGAGCTAAAATTAGAGAACAAAACAGAGTGATGCTGTAAGTACAAACATCATGGACAGTTGACAGTTTGTCTTTTATTACAGTTATCATAAAATTAAGGTTTCTGGCTTCTTGGACTTTACAGAAGTTAAAATTTCCTTTTATATGTCTAAAACATTATCAATATCAGACTACTATCTCTCATATAAGAGAATGAAATACAAGTCATCAGAAATATCCACCTCAAAGCAAAGAATAAACTTCTGAAAAACCAGTCACCCTTAAGCCAAATGCCAAATGATAAAAAACAGAAAGAACAGATAAACTGTTTGATAACCCCATTAGTAGTGAGTTAAAACAAGACTACCCATTAGTTAGTTACATTAACTAGTTCTTTAGGTGAGTTAGTTTGAATAAGGCATGTTGCCTATAAATAAGAGGGGTGATTAGAGAGGAACATCATGTGATTTGAAAAAGGCAACGAGGGCCTTCTGGAATTGGGAGGTGCCAACCCTCAAAATTATGCAGTGTATGTGTACTCTGTTCTGTAAATTATAGACAGACAGACAGACTTTCAAAACAACTGAATCTCCCAGAGAGATCATTAATGCTCTTATAATTCGGAAAAAGCTTTCCACATTTGTATCTCTGTATGTCTCTTATATTTTGAAGAATAAGAGTATGGAAGAAATAAAAGATAAAAATTAAAATGCCTTTGGTTCTCATTCCCATATGTTGTTTCACATTATATCAACATACCTCAACCCCTACTATAGCACTCCCATGTATTTAGTAATCTTGATCCATTTGAATGACAACTTTTTGAGTCATTTTTTGAATCAATGGATAAATTTATTTGCATAAATAATTTGGTGCTATATGCAACCAAATTTTTAAATATGATTTAGGAACATGACAAATTCTTCAATGAAAAGAGATTTTGCACACCTCAACAAGAGCAAGAGTATTGAGGTTAGGTGACAATGTTGGCTTGACACCTTTAGCAGCCAACACTTCATCTGGCGTCCTACAAGAAATTTGAAGAAATAAACAAAGGAAGTACTGTAACTGGAAAAACAAAATTAATATAGTGATAGAATATTAACTTAGATTCATTTTACATGAAAAAAAAATGCGGCAAACCTTGCTAGAACAGGTCTTGGAGCAAACCTATCATCAGGATCACTATGACATAGAAAGTTACATCAAAGTCAATGACAAAGAAAACAAAGTTAGCTTTAGCAATCAAAAACATTAGCATCTTGTTAGCCATCTAAAATCACAAATTCTTTCCATTACCTTTGTACACAAACAACAGCTTCTACCATGCCTGATTTTAACATTTCTATTGCGATGGTTGTTACTATCCCAGTCCATTGAGCCCCTATAAAGAGAATGAATTTGACAGGCAAAACTTATTCCAGAAGGCTAATGTCATTTGGAAATAAACAGAACCACTGATAATATGTCGGTATATCCATGCCAAATAAGCAGAACTATTGATATATGCCCACACCAATATGTCATCATTCCAGTTGGGAAACCTCATCACATAATTAGCCGAATAAAGATATGGAAACCATGTATGTATAATTACCTATTAATATTTTATATTGACTGTCAAAATTGAGCAAATTAGGTGGTTTACTATCAATAAATAACACTGGAAAAATAGGGTAACGGGCAATTTATAAATATAAAGTTACATTCACGTGACATCTTGGTTTCCCAGAGCAGCATAAAATATAAAATCAGCATTCATCTAATTGGTCTCTACATTATGCTAGACCCTTTATAAAACTATAAGTTATATTGCAATTCAGACCTTAAATTAGTCAAATTTGTTTCACATTACTCTATTCGCTGTTTCTGACAGGGTAAAAAATGAAACAAATTTGTATAATTCAAGGACTAAATGTTTGCATAATTTAATCAGGGACTACATTACAAGTGAGGCACATCTCCAAGGACTAAATATCTGATAGGAACTGAATTTATTATATGACTGAGTATAGAAATTCAGAGACAAATTCTGAAACAGCAACAATATGACTAGAAAGAAGGGAAATCAGAGAAAAAATATTAATAGAGCAGATTTCACTCCACCACTTTCCCCCTCATTCCCCATCTTACCCCCACCTCACATCTTCCTTCTATGATACACCCTCAATGAGTGGATCCATCAATATCAGTTTAACTTATGTCCTGTGTCTAGAACCTCAATAGATCATACAAACCATGATAATAGAAAATTCCTATTTGCTTGCACCAACTCCAATTCCCATCATATTCCTTACTCCTCAAAATTACTGTAAAGGACTACATAAAATCCAGCAACAAACGGAAATCATTTGAGCTTATCATGTAAAAAAAGCATCAAATTAAAATAGTAATCCATAAAGATGAGGGGCCAAAATTGAAATCTATGCAAACTACACTCTACAAGAAACAGAAAAAACTTATATATTACTAAAACAACAAATTTGCTAGCCAGGAACAGAATCCTTGATTTCTGTGAATCTGTATAAATTTAGGAATAGCAATCAAAATCACATATCAGGAATGCCATTAAAAATAGTGCTTCATAAATGTAAAGAATAAACAAGAGGCCCCTCCCAAAAACTGATATAGTAATTTACCGCAATTGTTTATCAGCATAATATAAATGATACTGTTTCAACTTTCAGTGGAAAATTATATAATTTGATGCACAAAAATATACATTGCATTCGGAGACATCAAATTTGATACAGCATCAAACTCAGAATAATGAAGAAGTAACACAGATGCAATCTCACGAGTCTTCCATTTTCAACTCAGAAAAAATACCTTCCACAGGGTGAAGTTTCCGAGCATATAACAGTTCCTCATATACCCCTAAGTAAGTCTCATCCAATGTATCAGTTTTCCTGCCTCTACCGTGGACAACAGGTTCCAATCTCTGAAAGGGAAAAAATTGCACAGAAAGAAAGCAACTTCAGTTTGGCAAAACATTGTCCAAAAATGACTAATTTCCTGGATTTAGTTATATCAGCTCTGAAATTTCCAATCAGAAGTAAAGCATGCTAATAAAAACGTTTAGGCAATGTTTGAATCAGCCATACAAAATATACAGTTATTTTTACTCCATAACAGTTATTTTTATTCTTATCACTAGGCGTTAGCAATTGACAATGACACATCACTCATCGTTAACAAATTTGAAAGATTTTATTAACCGTATATTTAAAAATAAAAATAAAGCAACCATCTAGTTTATGCATTACATCCATAACAAGGGTAAGAGGAAAGCAACAGACTTACTTCAATCCTAGACATTCCATCTCCCAAGAAAGCACATGCATTCTTGACATGGGCAATATAATATGTGTCACACAACCCACAACGACTGTCCCAAAAGATGAATAGCTCAATCAAACCATGAAAATAACACATACCAAAAATAAATAAAATAAGATGGGTAACACACACATATATACCTGCAATGATCTTTTGCTGGGTAGGTGCCACCTGGTGGAATAGGTTTGGACCTTTTCCTCCAATCTTGTCTCAAAGAGGTATCTGTTTGCCAAAAAACACAATGAAAAAGAAATGAGTCAGAAGAGAAAAAAGCAAAGCACAAATGCATGCAGAAAGAGAAAGAGTAGTGAAATGTGAAATAGGGTACCTTTGGATGATGATGATGAAGAAGATGAAGAAGCACGAATGGAGAGAGAGATAGGTAGCGAGTGAAGGAAGGATAAGGAAGACATAGTAGAGTAGAAGTGAAACTGTGAAACTGAATGAGAACTACGAATGATGATAGGTTTGGTGAGTGACAAAGGTGACTTAAACTTGATGCTAGTTCTGCTCCACATGTTAATAATGTTGGGCCCCAACCTGCCACATCCTCATAAAAACAAATATCTAATAATTTCTCTTAAATTTTATTTTCATTTTCGTCTTGTTTTAGAATATTTTGTAATAAAAATAACTACGGAAAGGTTGGCATAGTTAGTTAAATGTTTTTAATTTTGTTAAAATAATAAATAATTTTCATTTTTACTGTAATGAATATTTTTCTGTTTAAATGTATTTTGCTTTATATTTTTAATCAATGCTATAATAATATTTATTTACGGGTATTTATGACCTAATTGCATTATGATAAAGATGTTAAAACCTTTCGTGCACGTAAAGATTTATTAAAGATACTTCTAACGAAATAGGAGACAAATCAATATTTGTTGACTTTTTATTTAACATTTTATATCTATTATTATTTTTTATAAAATAAGATTATTTTCAATAAATAAATATATGACATAAAAATATCAAAAGGATTAATCTTTCTAATTATTAATTGAAAAAACAGTGTATATTTACCTTTATTATTTTATTTATTTTTGTAAATAGACACATTTCAATATTTTTTATTTTAATAATCTTCAAACTCTAACTATTGTTTTAATAAGCCCTTCTGTTAATTTAAAATTAAATAATTTTTATACTTTATTTATATGTAAAGAAATTCAAAATTAAGAATGATAAAAATATTTTTTAAAAAATTGTATGAGCATAAGCAAGCATAAAATGAAGAACAAATGGAGTAAAGAATTATTATAAGTGATATTGTATGTAATAGATATCCGACTCATAACTATTATAATTAACTTCGTAACTATGATTCTTTACATGCCTACGCGAATTCAAGGTAGAAAAATTCTACTTTGAGTTTATGTTATAAGAATGCAACATCTTCTAACAATTGGTTTAGTTAAAAAAATGAGCTATTAATCATATGAAGGAAATATTACACTACAATATGTTGTTGCATAAAAAAAAGAAAAAAAAAAAAAGGTAGAACAATATTAGAAGTGTTACATTATATCTCTAATATCATTTAAAAAAAAATTATAATTCACTAAGACTTTATGTAAGAGTTTAGAGGGAGAGAAAATGAAAAAATTTAAAGAATAAGTGATAAGAGGAGATAAGAAAAGTAAAAAGGGTTAATAAAAAATTTCCTAAAAAATTTAAAAAAATGAGATTATGAAAATTTTAGAGAGTATATAAAATCACCTCTCCCATCTAAAAATTAATAAATAAGAGTTATCATCACTTTAGTTATGTGGCAAGTTTTTGCATTGAACTTTTAAGTTGATTATAGAAACCAATTATGTGTTTGATGACTAAGAAACAATGACAGAACCAAAATAAATATGTATACTAGATAAGGACATAAATTAGATCATATGTGTTTAAAGTCAAGTCTAAACCACTATAAGTCATAATGTGTAAATTTGTGTTTTATCTAAGATGAAGACTATGATCTAATGATCCATTGAGACACCTCATTTCCTCTTGATAGCATTCTAATGAAGCTCACATGGGTTATACATAAATTAGCTCGCTTTGTTGTTGATTGCTAATTTCTAGCCTAGTTGATGCTACCACTGGAAGGCACCTACTACTAATTTATAAATTATAAAGTTTAGTGATAAGTACATATTTACATATTTTGACATACTTTTCAAGCATGCTCATGTGCACTTATTATTGATTTGAATGGATTTTTGTACTAATTACTTTGTTAATTGTTATAGATGAGCATGTGTGAAGATTCACCGGAATTATGAATATCTTGGATGAAATTCTAAGAGAATTAGGCCATTAAGAAGCAAGCACACCTAGTCCTTTGTTTTAAGCATGCTCATGCTTCATTTGCATGCACGGTCGTGTTGTGATGAAGCACGCCCATGACTCCAGAATAAGCACGGTCGTGCATTAATCTAGCACAGCCGTGCTCACTTGCGTAATTCACAAATTTTACATGATTTTGGAACTTAAAAACCTTATAAAAAAGAGGTTTATAAGCAATGGTTCACTATTCCCTTCTTGAGACTTGATTCCTAAATTCTACGAGATTCTCTCATCTCTTCCGCACGAGATCTCTAGCACATTTCTAGAGGATTTGGATCTTCAAGCAACTAGACTTGGAGAGCGGGATCTTCCTTCTAGTTTATTTTTCATCTTTGTTTATGATTGTGTTTATGGCTTTATTTACAAATGCTTGGGTTTCTTTCTTGAGTATGAGTAACTAAACCCATAACCAGGGCTATGAGAACTCTTGTTCATAACTTTATGAGATTTTTATAAGTATATTTAGATTTGATTTCCGTTGTCATTAGTTTTTCTTCTACTGCATTTGATTATGTGTTATGAACTGATCACTCGTAACATAATTCTAATTAATTACATCATTAAGCGATTGTACCTCGATTAATTAATTAATTTATAGGATAAAATGAAACAAAAGATAAGGTGGACTAAACTGATCTTTCTCTTCCGATCGTTATTAGGATAACAAGTTCATAGGTTCTCTATGCTTCCTTTAATTGATATCTTGCATGACCATTGGATATTAATAGCAACTGTACGAATGATTTGTAATCACACAGACATCGAGTTTAGAATTAATTAGAGAAAGAACATAAAGGATTGAATAAGTAAACTCATATGCCTTGGGTTTTTCTCCTATAACTTTTCATAAGACGTGTGTTGTGATTTCTACTTTGAGATCTAGTTATAATTGTTTTAAACCCTTTAATTTTAAATGTGCAATTTCACATTTTTTATGTTCAAACAATTAGACAAAGAAATTCTTCGTAATTGGAAACTAATCCTTAAGAAACGATAATTTTGAGACTCGTTTTTCAAAACCCTTTATTACTTTTCGATGGATACACTTGCTCATCGAACAAGTTTTTGGCGTTGTTGCCAGGAATTGTTTTTCAATATTGAGAAAATCTTACGTTTGATTAATTTGAGCAATTTTTATTTTGTTTAATTTTTTTTTTTTATAATTCCTAGTGTATGCTCACTTGCTCCAAGTGCTCTACAACTTCTTTATTTGACCTAGAGATCAAAAGAACAATGCATAGATAAAGGAAAGAAGTGAGTGAACAAATAATGGCAGCAAGAAGGACAACCATTCAGGATTACATGACATCCACTGCCCGGGGCACTCCAGGAAGCATCACTGCCCCCAATGTGGAAGCCAATAATTTTGAGCTAAAGCCTATAACATCCTTATTTTATTCAAAATCATAAGAAAATAAGTTATTAGTTAGAAAGGAATAATTAATTCAAATCCATTTGCTAGTCAAGTATAAGACGTGTAACTATAGAACATTTCATTTATTTTACTTTATACTTATAAAAATTTAGAGAACAAATCCATGGAAAGTAAACAAATTAAAAAGGAAACATGAAATAACATTAATAAATATATAGTTCTAAAGAGTTTACAGTGGACTAATTTTATCAAATATACATCAAAATACATTAGAACTCATTTTACAACATTTACAAAATCCAAAATATGATAAGTCCTAATGAGCAGTATATTCATCACACGACCAGAGAAACACTAGTCGTCCCCGTGCCATCCCTCTATCATCGCGATATCATCAGAGTCGAGATCATCATCTAATCCGAGATACAAATCACCAGGGTCCTCAGTAACTTGGGCACCAATAATCCGCTCAAATGTCCACTGAGATGGTCTTCCAAGGTAGTCATGATCATGGTATGTAAACAGATAGATCAAAGCTGCTAGGGTCCTCATACTACCAGGAAATATATATACACAAAGAATATGATGGATTCTTCTTGAGGGAAACTAATTCCATTTCCACCATAATAGTATCACTAGGTACATCATTTACATCTATAGCAATCCTAAAGAAACAAAGTTGTTGATACTCATTAAATACATAATTTAATCTATTAGTTACAAAGCTACCTACTAGTCTAATCCTCTCGTTGGGTGTTGTCATCTAGGTTCCCTGAAATGATTGTGTAAGGATGAGTCTTTATTCATATTACCAAGTATTCATTCGCAATTATTAACATAGTAAAAAAAAGATAATACAACAATTAATCATGTTACGAAGTCATACTCATATACATGCAATAATCTTTAAGTATTCAAATTATTACTCTTCATCTCTTTCTTAATACTCAGGGTTCTTATTTCACTTTCATTGTTCCTAGGATCCATCGAGGTCTTCCTTAGCATAGATAGTCGCTGAATAGCCGCAGCTACACGAATACAACGTGTGCTGACCCGGCCCTTTTTAGCAAAAGCATGGTCAGGAGTATTAGTCAGGAAACGAGTGTGAGGCCTATGGTGCTCATACTCTCATTTGTTTTGCGCAATTCAAGAGGAGCATCCACCACCCTCATTTCTCCAAGACTTCTCAGTTGTCTCCATCTTTCATACTCCCAGTGTACCTTTGAACTATCCATACTCATCCTTATCATATTTCATTCTCATTTCATTTCTCTTTTCATATTTCTCATCTCATCTCTATATTTCTCACTATCTATTTATTAACATATTATTCATACTTTTATCTCTTTCTTTTACTCTAGTTCATTATTATATCACACATAAATCAATCATTGTTGAGAGTTAGTTCCCTCAGACTCAATCCACCATGTACATGCATATACAGTCAAAATAAAAATCATACACATCATCAAACATCACAAAACAAGCTTCAAACATAACAAAAACATGTTTTCATCCAACATATACTTAAAATCATATATTTCATCACAACATCTTCATGAATACAAGCATACCACTTCTTTAGTAACAAAATAGAGCTCTCCTTACCTTAAAATGGAAGTTTAGTAAAGGGTTTTCGAAGGATCTTGCTTAAAACATGAGGTTCTTTCTAAATATCACAAGAAATCTCATATAGGGAGGGAGAATCAAGAAAATAACTAAAGAAATGAAGAACCAAGCTTCAAGAATTTACCAAAGAACAAGGAAAGTGAACTTCCAAGCTTTGATCAGAGAAAGGTTGAGATTTTTCAAGGATTTGCTGAGAAAATGAAAAGAGAAGTCAGAGAGAGCGTATAAGGTCGTAACTTGGATTATAATCTAAGTTTCTCAACTTGGAAACCCTTAAATACCCCTCAACTTGTGACATTCTCGCTACAGCAAAACTTTCTCTCGCTATAGCAAAAAAAATCAAACAAAATTGCACTTTGCTATCTGTCATTCTAGTTACAGCGAGAACTCTTTGCTATAAGGAGAGAGCATTAAAATGCTTGATTCTGGACGCTAATTTCTCGCTACAACGAGACACATCTCACTACAGCAAAAAATCCTGTAATTTAAACAACTAAAACTCTCCTAATTTCAAGCAACATGCATTAACATCTCATACCAAATACAAAATTAATAAAGAATAAAAATAGGGGTGTTACAAAGCCGGCGCTAATAACCATGATACAAAACTCCATCCAATTTAGAGGCATGCACAACGAAGATCCTAATCTCCATATGAAAAAATTCTTTCGAATGACTGATACCATAAATACAATGGAGTAGCCAATGATGCCATTTAACTTTATCAATTTCCTTTTTCGGTATCAGAAAAGGTGAACGCATGGTTCATCTCACTTCTAGCCAACTCCATCACAACATGGGAGGACCTCACTCAATAATTCTTGAGAAAGTATTTTCTGCCATTAAGGTCCTCCTCGCAGCCTCATGACAGACATAAGTTGTTTCTAGCATAATGAAGCAAAATCTCTAATTGAGGCATAGGAGCAATTGGGAGAGCTTTTAAAAAGATGTCCGCACCATGATTTTTCGATGTGGAGACAGGTGCAGGTCTTTTACAATGACTATCCATTACTAACAAGGCTATAATTGATGCTGCAGCAGGAAGATCCCTTATAAGAAAAGATTCAGATGATGCATACAAGCTGATTGACAAGATGGCATTTGCCAGCTTCTAGTGGCACACTGCTGATTCTTACGACATCAAAGGGAAGGAAGCTGCTCCAGTCTACCAAACAGAGAGTAGCAACCTATTGACGAATCAAATGCTTGCCCTTGCAAAGCAGTTAGAAAACTTTAATGAGGGCTTAGGACCAATTCGCAAAATCTCCTGCAAATCCAGAATTTGATCAAGAGGATGTGAACTTTATGGGTAATAATTAAAACTCAGGGTGGCATAATTGTAACACACGCCCTTAGAGAAACCGCCAAAGGAACCAAAATGCACCCTATTGCCCTCCTCATGTGCAGAACCAAGGAAAAAAGGTAGAAAGAAAAGAAGTTCCCAAATTTTAATCTAATTTTCAAAAATAAATGATGCAATATGTGCATAGCTCTGACAAAAGGATAGCAAAACTTGAAGCCCAAATGGAGCAACAGATTGAAAAGGAGGATAGGAGCAACATATCTAGGAAACATGAAATGCCCCTCAATAATATTTTAATTTATGAATTATTTGATGTTTGGGACATAGACTTCACAGGACCTTTCCCTAAGTCCATACATAATGAGTACATTCTTGTGGCTATAGATTATGTTTCCAAATGGGTAGAGGTCATAGCACTACCCACAAATGATGCTAGGGCAGTGGTTAAATTTTTAAAGAAAATTATTTTCACCAGGTTTGGAACCCCTAGAGCTATTATTAGTGATTGTGGCACCCATTTTTGCAATAAGCAATTTGAAACTCTTTTAACAAAATATGGTGTCACCCATAAAGTATCTACTCCATATCATCCTCAAACTAGTGGTCAAGTTGAGATATCTAATAAAGAATAAAAATAAATAAAAATCTTAGAACGCATTATCAATAATTCTAGAAAAGATTAGTCTTTAAAATTGGATGATGCACTCTCAACTTATCGTACTGCTTTCAAAACCCCCCATTGTCCCCTTATCGCTTAGTTTTTGGTAAAATTTGTCACTTACCTATTGAGCTCGAATACAAAACCTATTGGCCTTTGAAGTTCTTAAATTTTGATTCATAGCTTATACGTGAGAACAGATTGTTGCAGCTCAATGAATTGGATGAGATGCACTTTGAGGCATTCGAGAATGTCAAGTTATACAAAAAAACACACTAAGAAGTGGCATGATAAACACATCATCCACAGAGGTTTTCAAAACTTCTTCAGTGGGCAAGTGTACCCGTCAAAAAGTAATAAAAGAGTTTTAAAAACGAGTCCCAAAATTATCATCCCTCAAGGATTGGTGCCCAATTACTAAGAATTTCTTTGTCTAATTGTTTGAACGAAAGGATGTGAAATTGCACATTTAAAATTAAAGGGTTTAAAACAATTATCACTAGATCTTAAAGTAGATATCACAACACACGCCTTAGGAAAAGTTAGAGGAGGAAAAGTTAGGGCATATGGGTTTACTCATTCAATCATTTATGTTTTTTCTCTAATTAATTCTAGATCTGATGTCTGTGTGATTACTAATCATTCATATAATTACTATTAATACCCAATAGTCATGTAATATTAACATTCTTTCCTTTAAGTTAACACCCCCAATGGTCATGTAAGGTATCAATTAAGGGAAGCATGAAGAACCTATGAACTTGTTAACATAATAACGATTGGAAGAGAAAGATCAGTTTGGCTCACCTAATCTTTTGTCTCGTTTTATCCTAAAAATTTATTAATTAATTAAGGTACGGTCGCCTAACAATATAATTAATTAGAATTATGTTACGAGTAGCAAGTTCACAACACATAATCATACGCAATAGGAGAAACACTAATCACAACCGAAATCAAATCTAAATATACTTATAAAAATCTCATAAATTTATGAATAAGAGTTCGTATAACCCTACATATGGGTTTAGTTACTTATATTCAAGAAAGAAATCCAAGCATGTGTAAATAAAGCCATAAACATAATCATAAGTAAAGATGAAAAACAAACTAGAAGGAAGATCTCGCTCTTCAAGTCCGATCGCTTGAATATCCAAATCCTCCAAGAATGTGGTAGAGATCTCGTGCAAAGAGATGAGAGAATCTCATAGAATTCAGAAATCAAGTCTCAAGAAAGGAATAGTGAACTGCTGCTTCTAAACCTTTTTTTTATAAGGTTTGTTCCAAAATCATGTAGAATTTGTGAATTACGCATGTAAGCATGGCCGTGCTAGATTAATGCACAACCGTGCTTATTCCGGAGTCATGGGCGTGCTTGATACACAGTCATACATGCAAATGAAGATATGGGTGTGTTGAAAACAAACGATTGGGCATCCTTGCTTCTTAATGGCCTAATTCTCTTAGAATTTCCCCAAGATGTCCATAATTCCTGTGAGTCTTCACACATGTTTATCTAACAATTAACAGAGTAATTAGTATAAAAATACATTCAAATCAATAATAAGTGCATAGCATGCTCAAAAAGTATGTCATAATATGTACTTATCACTTAGTATTTTGAGCTAGTTCACCTGTTGTAGCTTACAATTTTAGCTTTGTGGTTATTAAGGTGGGCATCGGTTAGACCTCTATCATTTTGGCTTTGTGTTGTAGACCCTTGATCTATTTTGATTGGGACAAATGAATGTTGGAGTTAAGTGTGTGTTTTACCAAGAAATGGGAAATTACAAAATTTGGGTTTGTAAACTTTTAAAATATTATAGTAAGAGGACTTTTTCTTGTTCTTTGATTTCCCAAAAGTGTGTTGTAACACTTTTTTGTGATTTGCATAATTGACAATTATGACATAGTGTTTAAGTGGTTCTCATCATTTAGAAATTGAAATTAACATAATTGTTTTAGTGATTTGGAAAATTGACACTATACTTGCAGTAATTGTGTATTAAAGGAAGTTGAATTCAGATTTTTGGAACCTTGAAACTAAGAATTGTAGCCCACGATAAGTCATTAGAGCAAGTTGTCTAACACAATTTTGGAAACCAAAATACACCCCTTGTTAGTCAAGAATTCCACATTTGGCCTGAAAGTTAGAACAAAATCAAGGAATAGGACTCACCTATTAAGAACTAATATGTGAGTTTTGCCTCAAATTCCAAATTTCATTGTTTAGACTATTTTTTTTATTTTTGTATTTTGAAAATTTACCAAAAAATTCTCAAAATTAGAAGATTAGATGAAATATGGTGGTCCTGATTTTTTTTTTAAAAAAAATTCATTTGATGTGTATTTGCCTATTATAGGTCTTACTTTCATATGTTAGTCTTATAGTGAAGTCTTATGTACTTTTCATTGTTTTTGCCTTGTAATGCATTACTTGGTCAAATCCTAGAGATTTGTATGATATTGATCTAGAAATAGATAAGACATTTCAAAGACTTAACAGGTTACAGGATCAAGTGCATAGTAGTTAGATTGGTGTGCATTTTAGTGATAGTTTTAGTGAATATGCTTCTGAATTTAGTAATTATGAAATTGCATTTGTATGAACTGATAATATGGCTACTAATCAAAATGAAAGAACACTCAAGGAGTTGGTTGTATCTAATGTTACATACCAACCTTTAGACATTCAATATCCTAACATAGATGTTCCTTTTGAATTGAAGTCTGGACTAATATATTTGTTGCCTAAGTTCAATGGTTGTACAAGTGAAAATTTACATAAGCACTTGAAAGAATTTCACATAGTCTACTCAACCATGAGGCCACAAGGAATCCATGAGGATCATATCAAGCTTAAGTCATTTCCATTCTCTTTAGATGAAGCAACCAAGGATTGGTTGTATTATTTGCAACTAGGATCTGTAGCTTGCTGAATTGATATGAAGAGGATATTTTTGGAGAAAATTTTCCCCACATCCAGAGCAGCAACCATTGGAAAAGAAATAAGTGGCATAAGACAATCTCCTCAAGAGACTTTATATGAATATTACGAGAGGTTAAAAAAATTTTGTGTGTAACGTGTCCACACTACTAGATTAGTGATCAACTGCTTATTCAATATTATATTACTATTTATTGATAGTGTCTAAATCTAAAAGCTAAAATATCTTACCAATATAAAAGTTAGAGACTATTATATTTTTAAAATTTTAAGAACAAAAATGTTTAATATCTTAAGAAACAAATAATAGTTTAGTCAAATGATTAAGTTTAACTTGAAAATATTTTGACTCATTTGAGAAAATTAAATTTAAAAATGATATAAATTTTGATTATTGATGAAGAGGATTAATTCTAAATTAGGAAGGAAGTAATTTTTTATTTTAAGGATTTAATTTAAATTACAAAAATATTTATACTCATATAGATATATTGATATGCTCAAACAAATAAATTTAAAATTTATTTTATTGTTATAACATGACAACATTGATTTAATTATGCTCACTATAGAGGGTAGGAAATTGTTGAGAAACGTGATGAGGGCTATGAGCTGTGAGATGTAAATTGTATGTTAGATGTTGCATGATAATAGGAATAATGTGAACAAATGTGGGCCCGAGTGTAATATGAAATGAATGTGAGCCTAGTGCCGTATATTTGAATGCAATGTGGGTTGTGTGCCGTGTGTAAGTATGATTATTGTATGTGTGAATAGAATATGTGTGAATGGGCGTGTTAGTGCCGTTGTAATGTGGTATGAATGGTTTAGCGATACACTAGAAGTGTGAAAGATGAAGACGGTAGAAATACCTTGGGAAAGGGAGAGTGGTGGTGATACCGACTGTGGAATGGGTGCACCACGGGCTACACACTATTTTCCTGACTAGACCTATAACCACTACCTTTGCTGAGCGACTCATGACTGCCCACGTGGTATCCGTGAGACGAGGGTAATCGACGACCATTCATGGTGTAATTTTGTGATCACAGTGCCA